GGATACAGACTTAAAAATAAATCTCAGAACATTGGCCATGAGACATTAAAAAAAGTGTAGGCGTAGTGTGCAACATAATTAAACATTTTCAAAATCTTAGTCATTTCAGGAATCATTTGAGGCTTGAGTCAGTTTTCCCATTACTGATATTTGCCTAGAACAAACGGTCAATAAAAGAGTCCATCGAGGGAATTTTGTAATTTCTCTTATATTGTCTTCATTTAGCCACTTGAGTGTAAATGTGTTTGCCATCATTGTTTTAGACAAAAAACAAACCAGGTTTCTAAAAAGAGCAAAGCATCATCTTAAATTGAAAGTAATTGCACACAAAGTAAACTACATTAAAAATGTTATCAAGGTTGCAAAATCAAATACTCAGAAATGAGGAAGTTCCAGAATTAATGTTGCAAGCAGAAGCTTAATCTGGCCCCCTTGTGCATATATATTATTAGTCTTTAATTACATGATTATGTGCTTTTTTTCTATAAAATGCTTATCTCATACAGAACACAGGACGGACAAGAATCATGTAGTGGGCAGCCATTCAAGATTTTGTTTAACCATCAGTCAGCATATGGCCCCATTCGTTATACTAATCAAGTCCTGCTCTGAAGACAGATTACTAATTTTCCTTATTAACTTTTTTCTGGTGCTCATCACTATATAGCATCAGTATTAACTCCATTTTACACAACAGGAGTTGAAACACAGAGAAAGTATTGTCAAAAGCATCCTTGTTTGGGATGCTTAATTTGAGATGAATAGGGTCTGATTTTTCTGTTTGTTTAACATATAGTATGCTATAAATGGCATCTGTGCAGGGTACGTTTGTTCATGTGTGTAAGGATGTAGGCATGAATATGTGTTCAAAGCAGAGCTCCCTTTGACTTCATTCACAACTGTGAGTGCTTAGCAGTTTTGCAAATCAGACCCTTGGGTACCAAACTCAGAAATCAAAAAGCGAGGAGCACCCTGTTAGTGACTCATCTGTGAAATGTTTGGTTTATGTGATTTGCCCAGCATTAAGTAAAAACTCTGTGGTAGAATTAGAGATGAATTCAGTTTCCAGGGCATGTTCACCCTATCGATGAGACCACTCTTTCTCATCCTGTAGACTTGTGCCTCATTTACTACGTGACCTAAAAGTTCTGTTACAAACGAAGCTGGGGTCTGTAAACAACAGTCTCCTTCACTACACAACCTGGATTCATCCCCTAGAGGAAGTCCATTCTGTGCACTTAATGAGGCCTGGGTTTTGTGGAAATAAGCAGCGTATGATCATGTAATTCAAAATTATTCTGCATACATATAAAAGGGTGATCTGGCCAAGGAACTACCTCACTCACTGCTCTGTTTGGAAAAGGAGCAATTGTGCTGTGCATTTCAGGTAACGTGAGTATCTTACGTTCTTCTTAGGGTTGCCAGTTTTGGTTGGATGTATTCCAGAGGTTTCACCACATAGTATAATCTTTAATTAAAAATTAATGTTTAATTCCTGAGACTCCAAACCAATCCTGGAAAGTTGGTGACACTAGTTCTACTTGGATACACCCTTTGAATTATATTGCTTGTTTTGTACTCACCTCTACACTATGCCACCTTCTACTGATCATTTTCAAATAGATGGTGAACTGTAATAAACAATTCATGTTGTTTAGGAGTAATTCTTTGCCCGAGTAAGGCCTGGAAGAATTAACAGATCAGTAAGTCCCTTCGTTTTCAGTTTCAACCAATTCTCTACCCCACCCTCCAAAATCCTGTGCTTTGTATCAGTCAAATATATATTTAAATGTTTTATTAGGAAATACAATAACTTGCATGAGACATGCATTGTGATGATACATTAGTCGGTGTGCATATGCAAAGCTGACTGTTGAAATAAAGCAATGTATTAGTTTAGAAGATACACACTATAAACTAATGGGCACACAAGCAAGCTTTGAAGTGCACACGCATCTGAACGAATTGATGAATTTCACGCCCACCATATACACATTTCAAGCTGCTAGCAGATATTGGCTTAAATGTCTGGTGCTAAAATTGGAAGGAAATGAAAATCTGAACACAAGGAAGAATTCAAAAGTTAAAAAGCAAAACAGGAGAAAACCATGAATTTGAGTGTTATGTGCCACAAATGGTGTGGCCCAGTTATTAAATGTAAATATTTATAAATGTATCGTTCTAAATATGCAACAGTAAATTATTTATTCAAATGAAAAATTTTATGTGGGGATGAAAGAGATATTATTTTCTTTAACTCAGAGATGGCATTGTGTTTTGAGTTTTGTTTTAATTCTGCAACAAGCCACGTTGAATTCCATTCATGACAGCATTAATCTACTGACTACTTTTTTACCTGTCCATCTGTTCACCAAAATAAATCACAATATTTTCCCAGAAAAATTAATGTATTTTCCACCAGTTTTTACCTTTTTAGTTGTAGTAATAGAATGATTAAGTTTACAGATCAGTTACTCATCTGTACTCTCTGTAGCTAGGGGTAGGTATATTTAGTGGTCTTCTACTATGTTACCTTCTTCTCTCACTTCAACAGCTGGGAATGTTTTTGGCCCTGATGGAAATTAGAATAGCATCAGGACTGTTCAAACTTGTGCCCACTTTAGCAGGCTCTAGAAGCCATTCATATTTGCCAGATCACAGAATGCTTCAGCTTGCAAGGAATGGTATGCTAAGTTATCTCTGCATCACCTGAGGATTTCCAGACCACACTTGGTGCATTAAGACAGTTCTCTACCAATGGAAAGGGTATGTAAGGGGGGGAGGAGCAGTGTGTTTATGTAATATACATATCAAATCAGTGTGATATCAAAGAGTGTTGTTTCAACATTTACTATTATAGAGCTAATCTTTCCATAGGTGCTTGTGTAAACAACACTTAATGTAATCATTATTTATATTACCATTGAGCAGAGGACCCCTAGTCATGGACCAGAATCATATTGTGTTGTACGAATCATTTTAACAGTTACATACCAAAACTGGTCAGTCATGTCCTGGACTCTTCCTCCAATGCTGAGCAGTCTGCAGTCTAAGCCTACTAGCCAGAGTGGAAAGATACCTGTGGTACATCTCTGTTCTATACTTAGCTCTTTAGTATATCTCATTTGTCTTTCCCTTTCTGCTCCACCCCCCTCCCTTCACAAACCCATCCATACGTAGGGTTAGGAAATGCTTATAGGCCCCAGATAACTAGAATGTGATGATTCCTAGTCACAGACCTTGAGAGAGAGGAGTAGGAGACAGTGCTTGGGTAAGAAGTCAAAATCTCCTGCAAACTGTTGAGAAAGGGAAGGGCAGTGAGTTTTCTTCTAGTATCCTCTTTCTGGGCCATGCTTCTGAGTTTCATTTTAATGTCTACCCCAGATTAATACATTTCTGCATTTTTAAGCCCCTCTGAATCTCTGCTGCAAGATCGAAAGAGTATCTGTTCCTTCCCTTCATTCTCCCATGCTTAGCCTCCTGGCGACTAGAAAAGGGAATTGACTGGTGGTGGTGCTGTTCTGCTTCTGTCCCCTTCCCTCTGCTAACTTTTCTCTTTTCCATTTGTTGAACTGTGGGGAAGATAAGTTTAAGGCTGGGCAGCTATACGTAGTACTTGCTTGCACATCAGTCTGTCCGCATGAGCTCTTTGACGTTATTGCAACAGTTCGTGAGGTAGATTTGTACCAATCCCCAAGGAAATCTTTTGCTGTCCTTCTAAAACAGTGGAAAGCAGCACCATTTTACTGTGAGTTCTCAAAGACAGAAGTCAGAGTACAAGAGAACCAAGATGGACACAAACTGAAATACAGGATAGTCATAAAGCAGGTTTGCAAGCCAAGTTGTACTGAAATGAGGACAGTGTGCATGAGAGATGCTTGCTGATCTGCCTGGCACAGCACCTTCTTTGGGAGTGAATGACTGTATTGTGGGATTTTTTAATTAAACAGTGACAAAGAAACAGAATGATCTCCAAAACAATAAAAGCTGTAATGCTGATTGCTTGCAGATGTGTGGTGAACTGGGGGCACAATAAATGAGAGATTACCTCCATATTTTCCTGGCATGCCACCTGCCTCTCTGATTGTGAGAAATGTCTTTGCTGGATTGGAATGATTGCACTACAATAGAATTGTCCAGGGAAAAGCTGGAATGCCAGTGTCTTTGCTGGTTGGCATTGAACTGGGGCTTCAGGCCCCTTAACATTGAGAACTCTCGAGAACCAACAGAAATTTTACTTTTCAAAGGCAAAACACAAATTCCCCAAAAGCTTCTCCATTTAAATATCTGTTCAGTCATTACAGAATGTCATCACAGGTTTTGTGGTTGTTGTTGTTGTTGGACCCCTAAGCAGTTACTCTTCATGGACTGCTCTGTAGTTTCTGTCTTGTTGACTCCATGGTTTAATTAGCAGTAGGTAACACTCTTCCTTTTGACACACTGATGAACTAATACCCCGGTTTGTTGCTCGGGGGCACCTTGTGAATAATTTAAGTAACACATGTGATCTGGTTTTCTGTTCATGGATAATTCATGGACTTTGATTTTTCTAATTGTTTACTTGAAGTTGTTCTGATACTTTATGAAAACATATTTCAGCCAGTAGTTTGTTCTGCCAGTCGATCTGCTTCATCTGTTTTTTTTTTTTTTGCCTGTTTATTGTTCCTGGTGTGTGAATAGCATTCTAAATTGCATGGTATTGTTCCCTGATGTGATGACAAAGGGCTGATCTACATCAAAGAATTAGTGTTGGTTTAGTTAAATCAATTTTAAAGTAAACTGGTTAAACTGTTGAAAACTTCTGATGTACATGCATTTAAAATGGATTAACTTGTTTTAGGAATTACCACTTTCAGTAAAACTGATTTGAGTAAGCTATCAATTTTATGGAAAACTGAAATTCAGTGAGAATTTTTTGTAGGAAAAAAAGCTAACATATTATCCATTTCTAAAGGCGAATCTGTTGCAGAATTAATAAACTTTTCATAACTTTATTCTAGGCTGGTACAGAGGTTATACATTAAGAAAAAAATCTAAAAAGGTAAGCGTTCTATTCCAGAGTTACAAATTCACTTTCTCTTGTAACATGTTTATAAGAAAAATTTATGTCAAATTCATTTTTATACTGGAACTTTATTAAAAAGTCAACCAAGAACTTTAATAAAACTTAAAATCTAGTTGATCTGTTAAATACTGATGTTAGATTCATGTTCTGTTAAAGACTGAATTACTCATAAAATATAATTGCATCTTACAAAGTGATAGCATTGTGATTTTCAGCCATTCTTTGTGAAAAATGGAGTAATCTTGCTTTCTGCAGAGCAATTTTGCCTTGTTGTTGGCTTGAAGTCAGCATAAAATGTCCGTTGAGACATTCCAAAACAAAAAAGGAAACAGATGAACTATTGCCTTTATTGTTGAATTTTAATTTTTGGGGTGTGAGTGTTATTTTATAATACTTAACCAGAACTAAAGATTATTGTTTTGATTTTGGCCTTTTAAAATAAAAGTATTTAGAAATACATATTTGCATACAGAAATGACTTTGGAGATGCTTTCATTTACATAGTCTTCTGCATGTCTAAAAGTAACAAAAGTAATTACATATTGAATTCTGTGGTAGACCTCTCTCATTTCCTAATCAATCCTCCTTTTGGTTTTCTATTCCGTTTTGTTGTTTTTCTTTTGGGGTAATACATTAAATTCTTTTGAAGTAAAACTTCAAGAATGTACGTCACTAAATTCTAAGTGGTGTGTATTTATGTTGACTGAAATTAATTCTAAGTGCTAGTATATTGATCTGCGTACTGCTAAATGTAGCAAGTCCTAAAAAGTGTCTTTTGTTTTGAAAGATCTTACTGCTTTGAGAGAGAGAGAGAGAGTGTCCCTACATTTAAAATGGAGAATTCCTGTAAAATTATTTTTAATTGGGTGTGGTGGAAACACACCTGTCCTAAATGAATCTAATGCATCTTGACTGATTGTATTGCTCCATGTAGAAAAGCTCCTCAAAGCTGACAAATGTTAATAACTGTGTATTCTTACTCTTATTTTCTTTCTCATTCCATTTCCACCTCTCTGCTTTCATAAGGATTGGAGCTAAGTAGTAGTGAGAGAACTTCTATTACAATCCCCTGGTCTTTCTGCTTCCTTTCCTGTCTTGGCTTGTGTCCAGATTTTGCAGCTGAACCTTTTCTTGCTTGCACACAACATCCTTCATCTCCTGAGACTCTTCTCTGACCAGTGTCTCTTGGTTGTTCCTCTGGTACTTGGCATTTTCTCCTGCTTTGTGTGGTTTCTTCAACACTGTTGATCACTCCTTCTCTCCCATCCCTTTTGTGTACTGAATGTATTGTGTATTCAAAGGATTGAGATGGAGGTTAAAGAGAAAGTTAACTACTCAAGGCTGTAACTTGGCTTCCTCAGTTAAAATAACTTGTGTTGGGGTTATGTTAAAGTGGCACCAGCCTGTTAAAAGGTAATGTTAGTATGTGTGTGGTTATAGCATTTTATAGCTTTTACACAAAATTAAGTTCAGTTGTGCTTCTTTACCTTTGGATACATCTGCAGTGTAGTGCTATTTGGGATATCAGAGGTATCCTGAAATAGCTATATTGTGTTTTAACAGCTCGCCTGTTATTTCACAATAGATCAGACTCGCTGTTCTGATGTTCTTGTAACCCTCGTTCTACGAAGATTAAGGGACATTTTGGAATAGTAGGTTATTTCAAACACAGCACCAAATTATGAAATAAATTATTTTGAAATTGACTTGAAGTAAGCTATGCAATTTGTGTATTTGAGAGCTATTCTAGGTAACTGGAAAATTTGCTAAGTTAAATAAAATCTGTCCATTGTTGTTAGTGTTGCTATGGAGTAAGATCTGAAAGGTATCTTTGAAGTTTGTGTGTTTTATAATCTCAAAATGCCTACTTGTTTTTGTACGATAAGGCAAGCTATTTGACCACTACTTTTAAAAGTTGAGGTATGGGAAATGTATCATTTTATCCTGGTTTGGGAGCATTTGTTGACTTTCAAATTAGATTTTAAATGGTTATGTCCTACTTCTAAGCTCTGTAGTTGGGGAGGGAATAACAATTCACATTTAAGGTGTATTTGTTTCAGGCTAGCAGCAAACGTCCAGCAGAAATCTTTCCAAATATCCCCCATTTAAATGTGAATTCCTTGCAAGGATAGAATAGGCTGCTGAGTGTGGAGTATATGTGTTTACTGCTTCCTCTTGCAAGGTGACCAAGTCAGGTAACCAAAAGTCACATTCAACACTAATATAGTAGTTCCTATAATAGGGAGTCTATTCTGGCAGACAGGGAAGACCAAGGTCAGCAGGAGATAACTTTAGGGAGCAGAAGTAGAATCCTCAGCTGGGAGAGACTTACAAATAGGACAGGTAGCAGGACTTGGGTTTGGGAAGGAACCATGAGGTCTGTGAAGCATGTCTACACTAGGAAATTATTTCAAAATAACTAAACTTGAAATAACTCCTGAAATAGCTATTTTGAAATTAACATTATTCCCCAAGGAAAACTGGAGTACAGATTTCGAAATAACCAGCTGGTTATTTTGGAATAACGGGCTTGGCATTGTAGACTTTGTTTTTCTCATTTTGAAAAAAGTGGGGGGAGGTTATTATGAAATAACTCCCTTATGTAGACCAGGACTGAGCAAAGATTTGTGTTGAGTTGAGTTAAACTATTTTTGTTAATGAACTAGACCTAGAGAGGGGATGTGAGTTAGCCTGTGAGCCGCAGGGAACCTGAGGCAATAGATACACAAGCAGACGTGCATCTCCTTACAGGCTTCTGTACTTTAACCAAGGAGCTATCTCTGCTGTTTAATGTAGTTTTGTAAAGATAATATATAGTTAGGAACATAATAAAAGTTTTAAAATATACATGCAAAATCAAATCCAGGTCTTGGACATTCATAAAATAGCTTTTCTATTTGATGCTGTTAAATAAAGTATGAAAAATTCTATGCAGATCAGAGTGTGGCTGTTCGTTAGATACTATTCTGTAATGTATGGTTACTCATTAAAAAAAACCTAACCATTTTTTCCCCCTAAAGGGCATATTTCCTGCTTCCTATATACAGCTTAAAGAAGCAATAGTTGAAGGGAAAGGGTGAGTTGACACTTGAAGTTTAATGGAATAAAATGCTTATATGTGGAAATTTAATTTCTGTGCTTTTATGCAATAGGCTAATACCTCATTTCTTTTTGGCTAATGAAAGGATGTGCTGGACACCCCAGAATTGATTCATGGGATCTTAGAGTGAAAAGTGAACTATTATGAGCAAATGCCTGATCTCCTGTGTATCATAGGCCATAGAATTTCAACCATTGATTAGTGAATTGAGCATGATAGCTTTTAGTTTTGATTTAAATGCTCCAAGTGATGGAGAGTTTATCACATTCTTTCATAATCCACTTCCATGCTTAATAATTACTATGACTTTTCAGCAGTTGAGTCTCATTTCTAGTTCCATTGTTTCTGACTTCATTTTCCTGCCATTGGATCCTTTGCCTTGATCTGGTAGGCTAAAAATGACTCGGAGATCATATGCAGTCTCATTATAGGAACTGGTAGATGATGTTGAAATCAGTTATTGGCCTTTTCTTGAATAAGATAAGTAAATTTAGCTCCTCATTGTACATAATCTGTTGTTTATTGCCTTGCCGAGAAGCATTTCTATGAAAGATTGTCATCTCCATTGGTGAATCTATTAAAGCTCATAACGTATACAAGATTGTTTGAAAAGGTATTTATGAAACAAAATTAATGATGAGTGGAAATGATGAATGACTAGCTAGATATGAACTTGGATGCAAAGAATTAAAATATTTCCTCCTTTTTGCCTGATCTTTTTTTAGCTCTCTTAAATATGTAAATGAAAAAAACTACTAATCATATGATTACTGCATAATGGCATCTTCCAGGTTGATTACAAAACTACCTCTAAGTGCTGCACTTTTGACATGCTAGGAGAGCTAACTGTTGTTCCATTCTCAGATGATGCACTATTTAAAAATAAGTCACTTAAAGGCACCAATGACTAAGACCCGCAAAACAGGTTTTTCCTGTGTAAAAATAGTATTTTACTAAAGTATCAATCATAAAAGCACGATCTGATACATACCACATAACTTGCTTTCCCACAGTGAATTTCCATAAAATATAATACACTAAGAAGAAAATAGTGTAACACATGTGGAATGTTATTTGTGGAAATAATGTTACTATTTGTGGAAATAATATTTTAACTTCAGACAGCATGAAACAGTCATACCCAGTGAGCTCCCACTGATTCAGGAAGTTACCACAACACTACGAGAATGGTCCAGAATATGGCGGCAGCTATATGTTGTAAGTACAGAACACTAATATTTTTTCTTTATTTACAGTATTCTGGGCTTTTTAGCTTGGGTGGATGGAAGAAGAAAATACCAGATACTTAAAAAATTAGGAATAGTAGAATGTAAGTTATAGTGAGTCTATTTAACCAAAGTCACTCTTTCGTTAATCTTCTTCTCCCAAAGTAGCTCTGAAATTTTTCAGTGCAATTTTTGGGCTTCTGTAACAAAGGAACCTTGAGATTCAGGTGTTTGGCATATAGTTGCATATGCTGACAAATTATGAAAGCTGTGGGCTTGATATGCAGGATAAGGGATTTGGAGATCCGATCTTGGTATAGCAGTGTCCAGTGCCTTGTGTTCTTATAAGACAATGACATGCAATAAAAGCTGAAAAATGATGCAATATGATTTAGTAACATGCCTGCCTGTAATTTCAGTTCCCATACTAAGGGGTAGTGATAAAAGCAGGTTTTTAGCTATGTTGTAGAGTTGTGTAGACTGGATCAGATTTTTTTTTTTTTATTTTTAGCTTTCAAAGTCAGAGAAATTTTGGGGCCTATCAAAATTTTAATTGATATTCTGTTCCAATTAACATAAATTCATAATAATAATAATATTATTATATACAGATGCATAGTGTTTACTGACTAGATCTTCCTTCAGATTAGGCTCTTTAAATTTGCAGATGACTCAGACCTAAAGTTTTAGTTAGGATTTGATCATACTAAAATATCCAAACTATATCTCCTAAGATTTCAGCAATGGTATAACTGTCCTGGAATTTTCACCATTTTCAGATGGAATTTCATTTGATGTCCAAAAAGGAATCGGAAAATAGTCTCCATTCTGGACTGGGATCTGACTTGGATCCTGAAAAACAAGGACAGATTTGGAATCAGGGATTCAAATGTGAAGTCTGTTTTCCCCTAAACTTAAAAAATGGGTTGTGTTGAGTGTTCCAGTTTTGGCCCAGATAACTTTATTGTAGGACTGTCAATTAATTGCAGTTAACTTATGCAATTAACTAAAAAAAAATCATGATTAATTGCAGTTTTAATCACATTGCTAAACAATATAATACTAATTTAAATTTATAAAATATTTTTGGATGTTCCTCTTCATTTTCAAATCTATTGATTTCTATTGCCTCACAAATACAAGGTGTACAGTGCTTACCTTATATTATTTTTAACTAGCTGGAGTTACCCGGAGTAGCTCGGTCCTGCTCCTTGCTGGCCCATTCGTACACC